GCGCGAAATTCAGAAAACAAACAAACAACACTTACACAGTAGGTTTTTTTTAGAGCAAGGAATGCTGGGTTCTTGAATTAACAACAGTTACACAGTAGGTTTTTTAGAGCAAGGGATGCTGGATTCTTGAATTAACAACATTTAGACAGTAGGTTTTTTAGAGCAAGGAATGCTGGGTTCTTGAATTAACAACAATTACACAGTAGGTTTTTTTTTAGAGCAAGGAATGCTGGGTTCTTGAATTAACAACATTTACACAGTAGGTTTTTTTTTAGAGCAAGGAATGCTGGGTTCTTGAATTAACAACATTTACACAGTAGGTTTTTTTTAGAGCAAGGAATGCTGGGTTCTTGAATTAACAACAATTACACAGTAGTTTGTTTTTAGCGTGTTTAAACGTGTCATTCGAATTTGATCTTAATTCTCAGACGGGGACAAGGAGCGGACCTCTCTATACGAATCAGTTTGTGTGCCTGAATTTGACGAACTTCAACAAAGAACCGGATTCCAGCAGCCGGAAAAAACATTTGTGACTGGTATGAACGGTGTGACGTCACGGCAACCCTACCTAGAGAGTGAGTATATAAATATCGAAAGTTTGGTGTTGTGTCATAGAACAAGAACTGTATGTCTAGACCAATTCAGTTTTTGTCATTTTTAGTACGGTTTCTTCGACTCAGCAGAAGAGTGGTTGAGAGAGAGAAATTAAAGTATCCAATTTGATATTCGGTAATTTTGAGTGCTTAAGTGATCAGTGGAAAAAAAAATACTTAACAGAAATTTAAGTTTGAATCTTAGAAACAGGGTTTAGCTTCGATACTCAGTAAACTATATAGGATAAATAGTTGAGTATTTCTGAATGGGTTAGAGATTATCGTTAACGGCAGCAAGTTTACACAGCCATCTTGGAAACCGTGGGTCACGAGAGTAGGATTTAAAAATTAGCCTGGATAGAGCATTAAAAGGGGGTCAAAGAAAAAAAAAAAGGACACCCAGGAGGTGTAGCAATCCACAACCTTGAGAACTGTTGTTAGTAGATAAAAGAACATCTGATTGAAACTTAACACGATGGAAAATACTTACTTAATGACGACGAGTGACTAAATGACCACAGTTATATACTCGTTTACGCGTGTAAACGTATGGAAAAGGAAATACTGGAACTGAGAAAGTACTGGAATCGTGGAAAAAAAACCTTTTTTTTTTATCATATCTTAAAGTTATAGATAAATATATAAACTTGTTAAGTTGGTTATTTGTACAGAAAAAAAAAAAACTGGAGTTGAGAATGCACTTAAAACGTGGTTCGTAGGAAAATCTATTTTTAGTATATTGTAATCTCTTACAACGAAGATAAACAAGGTTATTTGTGTAAAAACAAAACAAACTGGAACGTGGTTCGTAAAATAAAACTCTCTTCCTTTCGTATAGCCATGTTTTTTTTTTTAATATGACAATTCAAGTGATTTTTTCACTTTAATTATTTGTTTGCTTTAGTGCACGTGGTACCAACGTATGCTAAATGTTTCTTTATTTCACCGTTTTGTTAAGGTCATTTGTTTTTTTATTTGTTCACGTGTATCTCAGAGAAGCCCTCATAAAGGGTGTTACAATCTGAAGTCAGTTAACGTCCACGAATTTTCCATATATGTTACAACCTTAACTGATCTATTACATTGTGTAATCATACTTTGAGATTGAAGTGTCCGGTTCGATCACGTGTCCTCCGGCGGAAATCGGTTGTTTAACGTATTCTCCAGTGGCCTATGGCCGTTTTATACCCCCGGAAACGTGATGACACAGTTCACGCACCACAACCTCACAAAAAGCTTAAGCTCAGGAAGTTTTTTCAGTTTCCGGATATTGGTTACCAAAAGACAAAACCCGAGTTACCCGGTGAGGAGTCTGACGGACGTCTTTCTGAACATTCAACTGTTTATAAAATCCAACTCGCGTTATTGGTCATTTAAAAATATGTAGATACCTATTATCCTGCGTCAGTAATGTTGAGAATCTTAGTTGAGACTGTTTAACATTACATTTGAAGAGAGTTATTAAGTCAACATTACATTTGAAGAGAGTTATTAAGTCAACATTACATTTGATGAGAGTTATTAAGTCAACATTACATTTGAAGGCAGTTATTAAGTCAACATTACATTTGATGAGAGTTATTAAGTCAACATTACATTTGAAGGCAGTTATTAAGTCAACATTACATTTGAAGAGAGTTATTAAGTCAACATTACATTTGAAGGCAGTTATTAAGTCAACATTACATTTGATGAGAGTTATTAAGTCAACATTACATTTGAAGGCAGTTATTACGTCAACATTACATTGAAGAGAGTTGTTAAGTCAACATTACATTTGAAGGCAGTTATTACGTCAACATTACATTGAAGATAGTTGTTAAGTCAACATTACATTTGAAGGCAGTTATTAAGTCAACATTACATTTGATGAGAGTTATTAAGTCAACATTACATTTGAAGAGAGTTGTTAAGTCAACATTACATTTGAAGGCAGTTATTAAGTAGAACAAAGAATATCACAATAAAGATTTTGTTCTGAAATCTGGAACAAAACAAATTAAATTTCAAAGGACCACTGTTACCATAACGGACTACCACCCGCCATTTATGGCCTGGTGGTTAGGGCACTTGATTCGCAACCTGCGGGTTGTGATTTTGAATCCAGTCACTGAATATGCTTGCCTTTCAGCCGTGGGGGCGTTATAATGTTGTGTGCCAATCCCACTTTTTATTGGTAAAAGAGTAGACCAAGTGTTGGGGATAGGTGATTATGACTTTAAAAATAGGGACAGCTAGCGCAGATAGCTCTCGAGTAGCTTTGCGTGAAATTCGGCAATTTCTTTTTAACATACCCACAACTGAAAGCTCGGAGAATATTTTATGGTATCGCACGGATTCGAACCACGCTCGCCAAGTTCGAAATCCAAAGCTCCATAGGAGAAATTACACTCGCCTCTAAACTTGTGCACAAAAGACAAAACCCGAATTAATGATTTTAATCAGAACACGATTTGGTTTGTTTTGAAAAGCTATACGAGGGGCTATCTGCGCCAGCCGTCCCTAATTTAGCAGTGATAGATTAGAGGAAAGGCACCTAGTCAACGCCACCCACCGCCAATTCTTGGGCTACTCTTCTACCAACGAATTGACCGTCATATTATAATGCCCCGGCTGAAAGGACGAGCATGTTCGGTGACGGGGATTCGAACCCGCGGCTCTCAGAATGCCTTAACCACCAGGCTAGAATAGAATACGATCCCAATATATGTGTCAAACGTAAATTACATTTTCGATCTTGATATAACTGTTTTGGTTATGCTCTGTTAGGTCAACTTATAACACTCTAATTCGGGGTTTTATCCCATGATTAGTGTAGTGCAGTTAACCCAGCGTACAGCTTATGCTAAAAGCAAAAAACAGTTTTGGTCACCAGATAACTTAGTTTGTTGTTGTTGTTGCTTTGTGGGGGGGGGGGGCATCATTCTCTACCCACGCTTGTTTAACTTTAATTGTTTTGTTTATTTATTTATTTTTAAATTACTGTCTCGAGTGTGTTTCCTGTGTAAGTCTAACTTTCAGGTTTAGTGTTTTGTTCAGCAAAACCCGCTGTAAAGGTGGGTGGGTGGGGGGTAAAACGGACGTTTTATGAGTAACTTGCTTCATACTGATTCAATACAATGTAATATGAGTAACTTTGAAATAACGCAACAAAAGCTTGGGGGATACGTTATAAAAGTGACAGTCTCTTATCGTCGACGGCGGGTGGGAGGGTGATGCCGACTGGCTGCTTTCCATCCGAGCAGTTCAAAATTAGGGACGGCGGCAGAAAGCCTTAGTAGCTTTGCTATAGATACAAAACAATACGTGTTTATCCGTTGAGACGGCTGGAATACGAAGTTTTACCTTGGCTGCTTTTTTATGGCCTCAACAACACTGATCCAAGCCAGACATTAAATAAGGCTGGTAACGAAGTAAAAATCCAAATCTGAGGAGCCTTCCTTTCTCTTCTAACATTTCTCACCTGTCGTTCAGCGCGTGGCGGCTGTTTGCGGTTACGACTCTACCCCCAAGGCCTTCTTCATAGGGCCGAAGTAACCGGCAGCGATTGGACGTCCCAGTACACTGGGGTTCAAGTGAGCCTCGTGCCGAAACATAGTTGCCATCTGTTGCACGTGCAGAGCGGGTGCCCATTGTCTACGTGTTTTGTAGCAAGTGAGGAAAAAAAAAATCAGGAATTTTCCACGATGATGGTTTTAGAAGGTGAGTGAGTATACGTATGGTGGTTGTTGTATATAAGTTGTATGTGTATAAAAACAATGATGAATTTATCATTTTGGTGCATAATTCAGTTTAAATACGTTCAGTTTCTTGCGACACTGTTACCTATCGCATTTATCACCTTGTATAGGGCCAGTGGCAGAGTTCTTATCGTGCCCCGACTGTGAATCCGATGGTTCATGGTTTACGTCCTGTTGGTCAAACAAAATGCGTTCTAAAAGTGACAGTAAAAACCCCAAGTGTTGGTGGCGCCCCCTTTATTCAATGAGAATTATGGTTGGTTAGATCAAAGATAGATATCTTTGCGCGAAAATTCTAAAACAAACATTTATCTTCTATAGGAACCACTTTCACAATATTTAAAGTCATGTGGTCAGTGCTCGCGATGTTCACACATCCCCCTACCACTTTCACAATATTTGAAGTCATGTGGTCAGTGCTCGCGATGTCTCCACACATCCCCCTAATAACAGTTGCTTTAAAATAAGGTTTAAAACATTCTTCGTCATATATTTATAAATACGTCAGGTTTAGCGACTATCAGTAAAATCGAACGTTGTTTTAGAAATTTTGAGTAATAATATTTTCAGTGTTTTACATTAGTTTGTTGTTAATACATATTAAAGTATTAAAATAATGTTTGTAACCAGTTCTGTTTAAGTACAACATTGTATGGACAGACTCATACAAACATCAGTAAGATAAGGTTAACATTTTAAACAATGTTGTACTTAAACAGAACTGGTTACAAAAATATTAAAGGACAGACTCATACAAACATCAGTAAGATAAGGTTAGCATTTTAAACAATGTTGTTCTTAAACAGAACTGGTTACAAAAATATTAAAGGACAGACTCATACAAACATCAGTAAGATAAGGTTAACATTTTATTGATATTTTTGTAACCAGTTCTGTTTAAGTACAACATTGTTTAAAATGTTAACCTTATCTTACTGATGTTTCTATGAGTCTGTCCTTTAATATTTTTGTAACCAGTTCTGTTAAAGTACAGCACTGTTGAACGTTAACCTTATCGTATTTAATCTTTTTGGAAAGAAGTGTTTAATGGAAATTGTAGATATATATGGTTTAAGTCAGTTAGTGTTCTTAGTAGAGTGTTACACACATGATTAAACAAGAGAGAAAAAAAAAGCAGCGTCTTTACTTCTCAACAAAACAAAACTGAATCTATTCGCAAATTTTCGATCAAAGGCCTAAATCAGAGTGTTACCGAAACGTTACGAATAAATTAACCTTTTTTTTTGGTATTCGACAGATGAGGGCGTCTGATTGTACTTTGTTTGTTATACGGCTCTTCATTGTTTTATTTTTTGACTTGTCCATATAAAATGTGGGTTTGAAAATGTTGTACTATTTTCGATTTGCTTCAAACTTTCATGGAAAATACTTCTATCAAACAACCAGTTCATGACTGCGCGAACAGTTTCAGTCAAACGCAAACTGACACCTGCGTTTCGTCATTTTCCGAACTGTAGCAGATGATACAGTTTGAGGGCATCTGCGTAACAACGCCAAACAACAACAGCAACAAAAAACATCAACCAAATTTATGTAACCTTCGTAATGAATGGCTGAGGAGGAACTGTTACACAAACCACCAGTGTACTTACTTACTAATGTTGCCTACTTACTAATGTTGCCTTCAACAAGAAAAAAAAGAAAAAAAGGTGTACAGGAATCACACACAAAGGCTTGGCAAATAACCAACACTATCACGTTAGGAAAGTAGGCTTACCTGAGTGTACATCTGTCAAACTTAACTTTTTTTTTACTCTAACGTTAATAAAGTAAACTATTTATTTAAATGCTGTAAAAAACAATCACCTCAGCGGTATAGGTTTAACGGTTTTGTGTTATATTTCTAGAGGTAACAATTTTGGAAAGTAGGGACGTTGTCCTTGTTTTCGGATCAACTTCGTTTTAAGTTCACTACAGAAAATTAGCTAGATACACCTCACAATCCACTGATATCATGTTTAATATAACACCTTCTTATTAACCCTCAGGTTACCAACTTGCTTTTATACCGTTCATTACCGGTGAGGTCCAGATACTGATTGATAATTAAGCTTTTGTCCATTTGTTTCTTATTACACACAAAGCTACACAATGGATTGATCCGGTGAGGTCCAGATACTGATTGATAATTAAGCTTTTGTCCATTTGTTTCTTATTACACACAAAGCTACACAATGGATTGATCC